AGCTCCCGTTGGAACTTCTGCCCTCTTAGACAAAGTCAATGAAGCACGGGACACAAATCCGTGGAAAAGACTAGCTCTAGGAGCTGCTTGGGCTTTTTTATTTTTTAAATTAAGAGTATAATAAAGAAACATAGCTGTGCTATACTGAAGAAAACCACATTTCTAGCCCAATGAATTCCAGAAAAGGGTTAGTATAAAAATGACCTCAGTGGACAATTATCTTTGCAAATATTTTTAAACTCCTTGTAAGAAAGAAAATGAATCCTAATGCTGAGACACACTTTGTCACTGAAGTAGCAAAATCAAAGAGGTGCCACTATCCTATGCCGCCGTGTTTATTTGGTGAGGGGGCTGCGTTGCTCTCTCATGGGTCCCAAACAGCCTCTGATGTTCAGTTGGTCTTTGCATGTGTAAGGGTATTGTCACCAGTTGATGTGTATGATCTGGGCTTGCAAAGCATGATAAAAGCTCCAAGTCTTCCCTCCTTCTCTAACCGAAGTCTTGCAGCTTTAGTAAAGAGCCGCGGGGCAAGTTTGGCATGAAGAAAATACTGAAGGCCTGCAGGACAGAAAATGCAAGAGTTTGGTTACCTGGTGCAAGGAGAAGTTGCAGGGTTACCTGAAGCAACGTGCACAGATGCGTTGCACTTGCAGAGACAAAAAGTAGGGGCTGGATTCATTTGTTTGAAGAAGATTGTTTCCAGCTGAATCAGTACCGTGGAAGCCAACAGACGTTTAACAAAGCCATCTACTGAGAGTAGCGTTGTCCTCTGGAAAGGTTTTGTTGGTATGAGTTGCGTGGGAGGATGGAAGTCTGACACGTCTGTCTTATCGGAAGCCTGTGGTTTAGAAATATTAGCAGAGCTGTACTCTTACTGGCATTGTTTTTTCCAGTTATAGGAGGATATTTTACTGAGGGAAGCAACATAGAAGAGCCTATAGTGGTGTTTTCATGCTATGAGTTTTGCTGGAATACTATACACAGATGTTTTCACCTAATGAGGGTGTTTCACTGCCATGCCTTGGTAAAGAATGTCATCATCTTAGGCTCACTTAACAAAAGGAAAAAAGCAAGATCACAGGCAGATTTAATTCAGACAAATTTCTGTCTGTTCACTATAGGCTACGATTGCTAATTTTCAATCGCTTTTCAGGTTGTCGGTCAAAATTAATTTTATTCCTGAGAACTAATTCCAGTAGAACATATTCTGCTTCTCGTGTGCTTAGGAAATCTTGGAAGAGGAAGCATGGGAAACATCCTCGCTGGGGAGACGGCCAGCAGCAGGACAGGGTGTTGCCCGTGCCTGGAGCACGCTTTCTCACACGGGGAGAGGAAGCAGAACCTGGGACTGAGCAGGACAGGAAGGGAGGGATTGCAATGGGGTTATTAATGTGGCCATGTGATTGCAAGCAACAAGAGGGTTGTGGTTTGTTTGTTTGTTAACCTTTATTTCATTATTAGTTGGCAGTGCCAACCAAAATGAACTGCCCTGCGCACCCCAGGGGCAGAATGTGTCTGGGGTTAGAAGCACTTTGCCTGCTGGGGACACACAGGACGGTACCTGTGTGACAAAGCACATGGTCTGATGCAGCTGTGCATGCAAAGGCATGTTTTATACTCATGTCCGGACACCTTCCACAAACAAGGAAAGCTGTACTGGGAATGATTAGTTTTTTCTGATGTAATTGCCCTTGCACTAAGGCTTCATTTGATAAATTGCATCAGTCAGGGATTTTATTTTTTTAGTACCCTGGCCCTCAACGCTAGCACAAATCTGGGGGTTTGCATATAGGCGTCATATACGTGCAGACGTTTCTCCACCCAGTAACAACAGTCATAGTGTCCTTTCAGATCCCACTAACAATTTGGTCAGACACTTTATTGATAGAGATTCCTGCCTTAAACTCATCACTGCAGTATCTGAGACTCCAGCAGTGCACTGTGTACTGCTCTGAGAAGAGCAAGTCACAGATCTGTATAAATGTGCAGTGAAAATATTATTAATAATGTGTATGTACAGAGGCTTTGATGTTAGAGGAGGCAACATCTAACAAATACCTCTCTGTTTAGAGAGAAATGGCTTGGGGTTTGTCATGGTCCCTATGGATTTTACATCACTGTAGAAATATTAACTTTTAGAAATGTTTTTTATCCTTCATATTTTGAACTGAGTCTTTATGTAGGATACAATGATATTAGGGGCCAGGCTCACCAACAAGGGGTACAACCAGCCAGTTTCACTCCATCATGCCTGTAAATCATTTCCAGCTTCAAAGGCAGAGCTGATGCCAGTGCAATTGGAAGGCAGAGTTACCAGGCGTGGTCACGCTGGGGAGTGGAAAAAGCCTGGTTCCAACCATGCCCATAGTGTCCCTGAGGCACTCCTGAAGCGGGACCGTCGCTTAAGTCCGTCTGTTGTTCCAGGTGGTGCTCCAGAGAAGTCCTTCTTAAGGCCTGGGGCCTGTAGGGCAGCAGCTGGAGAAGAGCTGGCCCACAGGGAGCCGGGGACAGGTCCGTCGCCTCCTCGCTCCTGTTAGCACTTCTCCTGGGGCTTTGAGAGGGACAGCTGAGCTCCAGGTGACACTGATGGCAGGGGGCTGGTGGCTCCTGCGCAGTGCAAGGGATGTCCATGCACAGAAAAGGCTGGCCGGGGGAGGTTATGCCCTCCCATCACTTGCCCTGGTAAATTCTGCCTGTTACAGGCAGGGAAATGGGGTGTGATTTGGGCAGACGTTTTTATAATCTGTGAATTTTACATCCTATGGGCTTTATTCAAGCAAAAATTCTGCCAATATTTAGTACTTGGACAAATATCCAGAAGCTCCCAATTTAGTGGTTTTAGTATATACATTTCCGCCATGCATCTCCAGAAGAACTGATTTTATTATAATTGTAACTTAAGTGGTTAGAGGTCTGTGATAATGTCGAAATAAGAAGCTAGCCTTGGTAGACCATGAGGTGCACTTAAATCAAGTTTCCCCATCACAAAAATTTTATTTTTATGAAAACTAAAAAAGTAGCAAGCTTCTGTATCTGAGCAGTAAGAGTCAAAATAAAAAGGCTTGGTTTCATTTGCGATGAAAGCGTGACTTCTATTCCCACCGGCAATTACCATGAAACTATAGCAACAGTTTTAAGTGAAAAAATTAAGATAATAAAATTACTTAAGACTGTTTAGCAGCTGGAAACAATGAGTCAGGACTGCCTGACTGGGCAATGTTTCACAGACTGCCATCTGTCTATGACCTACACTTTAAAAGCTGTTGTAGCAAGATGTTTAGAATAAAGATATTGTCAAGCCAGATGAGAAATTATCATTAATACTATTTGACCTTGCAGTGTTTCCTTTTTTTTTTTCTTCCCAGTAAGAGCTGCTTTTCTTCTTTCCTTTGTCATTTTATTCCAAAAGCCCAAAGGCTCCATTTAAAAGAATTTTTTTAAAACTACAGGTTTACAACATTCAAATCGGTGTATCTAACGATGGGGAAAAAAAGGCGCAGCGATTTACACATAGTTTTACACATGCATGTGCCTTTCTTTGGAAGTACATACACACACGTTAAGTCTTCTTACTGCAGTTTAGACGTAGTTACTACATCTGAGGCTCCAGGATGGAGGATTAAAAGTTATTGTAGCTCAATTCATCTGCTGCCTTCCTCTTTCTCCCTCCAGTTGTAACTTGAAGCATTCTGAGATTATTTTTTGGTTGTACCTGCTTATGGAGGGGAGCCCCAAGTGCCTTGCTTGATGAAAATGTGCATAAAATTTGACCCGAGAAGGTGCTTGGCACACTAACAATTTTAGAAAATTAGTATTCACACTGGAGCTGTCATCTCTTTAAAAGGATATGATGTTCCCTAAGCACTAATGCACAGGGGGTTATGAGAGCAACACAAATTCTTTCCCTGTCATTTGAATGATCTAGGGCCTGGCTCTAGAAGCATGTTAAAGCAGCTGTGAGGAAAGCTACCCAGGAGGGTGTGTTTCCTTCTTGCTGACAGCTGGGAGGGTCTCCACTGGCTGTGATCAAGTTTTCTGAGATGCTTTGCTCTCATTTTAAATTCTTCTGTGCTCTTAAAGCCAGTTGGGAGGAGAGGGCAATGGACTCATCTGTGGTTTAGGGTTTTAGCTTACTTTTCCAAGCCGGTAGATCTGCCTAGTTGTCTGTGGTTCAACTGTAGACAACACGCAGTCCTAGACTCCGAACCTTCCACAGCATCTGGTGTCATCCGATTACAAGAAGTATTTAAACATGCTTAGAAGCACGGTAAAGTTACTGTCACAGTTTTACTAGAATCATAATAAGGAATGTCTAAATCCCACTACAGTCTACAACTCAAACATTTCATTTGGAGTTTACGTGCTTTGATTTGCCTCAGAAATCCCATTTGTTCTGTATTCACTCTACTGTAATTGGCTTAATTCCAATTATGAATGAGAAAAATAGGCTGTTCTCCTGTTTTTAAATAAGTTAATGAATATAAAGAAAAAGCCTGAACAAATTAATAAAGTGTGTGAATCTTAAAAATACTAGTGAATTTTTATTGTATACCATAGTTGTACTTTTTTTTTTTAAATCCAGAGCTTTGACAGCAATCTCACTAAAACTAGTTGCTTTACAGACAGAATGATAAATATGTGCATGTAGTAAGAGTCCTTACATACATATATTTTTGCTTTTTCTAAGAAGTTGTCATCATAAAAATCTGAAAAAAAATGTGCTCGTTTGCAGCAGTGATCTGCCTTCTAAATGCGGGTATGCAATTGCAGACAACAGAGTAGATTTTTAAGATCTGTCAATCAGGGCACTGGGGATTTGAATCTCATGGGCTTAAAGCCTGGAGAATTTCTTACATTAAATGTAATTGTAATGCACAGTGTTAAAAGTAATGTTTTAGTTAGGACTCGGACGAATGTCAGACTGAGAGATGGTCATAAAGGATTTGCAATTTCTGTCCTGCTCGACATCTGTATAGTTATTTATTTTTATATACAGGTCGATGGTTCTTCCCACGTCACGGAAAAGATGTATCCGCTGCCTCCAGCCTGTTGAGTACCTGAAATACCAGAAATAGCTAGGCTATCGTCTCCGGAGTGACTGAAGGGCCCTGGGGGATCTCCCACGCCGAGGACTGCAAGTGCTCATTTTGTGAGGAAGGGGCGCTGACCACCTCACCGAGTCGTCCTCTCTCCCTCAGTCACCTGCCACCTACGGCTGAGACAGTCGGCCGCCGCCGCTCCTTCTCTTGCTGCGTCCTCAGCTTTGACTCGCTTCAGCTGTAAAACCGAGTCCGGGAGGGCGAGAGGCGCCGCCGGGCACGGGGCGAGGCCACG